ACAATGACAACTAGATCATTTTCCGCATGCTCAATCAATCTCTGACTTTTCTGTTCACTGCATTTGTATCCCACTCTTTTCCCAAAGAAGTCACACACAGGGTTACTCCATGTGTGTTTACCCTATAAGCTAGGTAAGGTGGAGAGATAGTGCATGACTCAAAGTCAAGAGGTGGTGTGGCAATAGATTTATTGCCTTGAAAGGGGCTGGAGATGGCCTATAAGATCTCTCTCAATGCTGTGATTCTACACGTTTCATGGTTATGTGGGAACTGGAACCCTGCTCTAATCCAGGTTGAGCACTTTATTCTACACTCTTAGCCATCCACTACTTAATCATCCACTACATAACCATATTTTCTCTTAATTATTATTTTTCCATGTGCTAAGCTGTTCATGTTTTCAGAGGGCTGTTCCATAGAAGGCTGGTAGTCAAAGCCAGACTGGTTCTACTGGTTCAAGGTAAACAGGATTATAATGGGAAATTGCTATTCTCACTGGCCAAAGAATCCTGGGCTGGCACTTCTGCAGTTCTGTGGTCAGAGTATGCTTTCAGACTTCAGATATGGAAATACGAAGTATCCTATGGCCCCCTAGATGCTGTCTAGGGGACCACAGGATCCCCTAGACCAGGGGTCCTCAAACCTTTTCACCAGGGGGCCAGTTGAAAGGTGCCAGTGCTGGGTGCAGGCCGGAAAGGTCCTGTCGGTGGGGCGCGCATGCACTGAGGCGGGGGGCTGGGCGCGCAGGCACGGCGCGGGGAGGCAAGGCGCTGGCCGGCATGCGCCGTGATGCAGCAACAGCAGCGTGATGCAGTGGCTTGCTTGCTTGCTTGCTTGGAGATCATTTTCTCCAAGTGAGTCCAAAATGATCTCCTTGCAAGCAAGCTGCCACCTCCCCACGCAGGGGGCGAGGTGGGCGGCGGTGGGCACACATGGCGTGTGGGCGTGCACACAGCGCGTTGCAAACCTCTGAGGTGGGCCAGTTAAATGGCCATGGTGGGCCGGATCCGGCCCCCACGCCATAGTTTGAGGACCCATGCCCTAGACAGCTAAATTGAATTGAAAAAAACCTGCCATTAAGGCCAAAATCAATTTGAAAAGCAGAAGCTGCACCACTGGCTGTGCTGGCTAGCACTTGTAGGACATACCTGGCTGGCCAGCATTAAGACCAGGTAGGCTGGTCAAGTCCCCAGACATCATCAAAGTAAATCAGAGCATTACACGCAGTCAGAGATTGAGCGATCTCCCTTCAAGTCTCCCATCCCAACTTCAAGGTAGTCCAGCCTCCCAGGTGAGCACAGGAATCACCTGCATCCAGATGTGCCAATCAGTGCTCACAGCAGGAATTTCAACCCAATAGACAGCTGTCATCACTACTTGGTCAGCAGAGGTCTAAAAGGAGACTTCTCCATGCTTTCCGGGTCAATTGCCATTTTGCTGTGGTTGAGAATAATAGAACATGGTTTGGCTCCTCTCATCTTTGTTCTTAATTAGGTAAAGTGTGCCAGCTTTGGACCCCTTGTGTCCTTCACACCAATGCATGTTGTAGGCCAAAACTTCTGGGGGGCCACAAGTTGCTCAACCATGATGTAAATGTTTAAAACCAAACATGTTTTATTTTAGTATTTAGCCCATTTCCCGCTCTAAAATATTAAAGTGGCTGACAACAATTGCGTCAAAACAACAGTGCAATATAATACATAATTTCAGACTAAAATGTCATGGACATTAAAAACCAAAAACTTAAGTCAGAGTGGCAGATCAATTGCTTGCCCAAAAAAGATTTTTCACAAGGTGGTCAAAGTAGTCACTTTGGTCTAGCAACTAGGCTCCATAAGAAAGCACCAAGACATCTTTCCTTTAGATGTCAGGTGATGACTTTTTTGTTCTAACAAGCTTTTGATTGGTGTAACATATTTAATTTATAAATATGTTACACCAATATTTATATTTTGTTATTGGTTATTTATTGGCTGCAAATTTATTGGTTGTATTTATCATGTTGTGGTTTTACAATTTTATTGTGAGATAGTTCTAATCTATTATTTTACTGTTTTTATCTATTTTATCTGTTTTATCAATTGTATTATATGCTGTTTTCAACATTTGTAAGCCACCCAGAAAACCTTCAGGTTATGGGGTGGCACAGAAGTAGAATGAAATAAATAACAATGAAATGAAATAAATAGCTGTAGGCCAGCTTTCCCAAACATGGTACTCTTCCAATGTTTTTGCCTAGAACTTCCATCATCCACACTTCTTTGCTTCTGCAGGGGAGGGTGGGCATTATATTCCAACAGACCTGGAGAAGGAGAGAAGGCTGTGGGGCCCTGCACTTTGGTCCCAAGGTCAGGCCTAGCTGCATCACTGACTGAGAGATTTAACATTTGGCCTAGGGTTCCAAAACTCACTAAGACCCAGTGTTAAAAAGTCAGGGTCACTTAACATAATTGTATTTGTCATGCTGTTGTGTTTAGCATACCTGCACTTTGTCACATCAGTGTTTTTCTGGAAGGAAACACAAGAAGCTTATTTAGCAGGCATCCATAACAAATCACAGAGCAGATGCTAAGGTGTTGTAGCCAAGTAGGGAAGTCTGGCACATATGCCCACGAGAGTTTTTACCTTTACATCTTACACATTTACTGCAGGAAACACTAGTGTTTCTATGGTAAACAAGCCTGCCACATAAAGTACATATGAAAGTGCGTAATTTTAAAATATCACTTTCCTGGCTCTGAAAAAGTCATGTTAGCACTCCCTAGTGAATCATCAAACTAAGTGGGGGGTGGATTTGGTTGAATTTGAAGGAAAATGTTTTAAGGTGAGGATTGATCTAACAGACTCTTGTAGAGTGGTCTTCTGAGAATCACAGATTATTCCCTACTGTTTGAAACACTCAAAACTATACCAGAGAAAGCACTAGAACATAGAGTATAAAAAGCACAATATTAGAGCAGGACAGGTAAACCAAAGAACAAATAGCATTATTCCTCTCGTTTCTTTTTTTCTTTTTTGAAGCCATTAAAATAAATTGCTCAGTGGACTGCAAACTAGGATTTATATCCATTAGGGTGTTTCCAATCTTTATACTTTACTCAGTCTCAGTACTCTTAAATCCAGCTGTAAATATTTGATGGGGTTTGTTTTAATGTTACCATGGCTGGTTACTGTTGTTTTTATTTAGTGCTTGAGCCAGTGAACTTTGCAAGAGGCCGCACACAAAAGAACAACATATCCTCGCATGGAATTTGGCTTTCACCAAGCTGGAACCCTCCAGACATACTGGATTATAGCTTCGATCACCACTAGCCAGCTTAGCCAAAGGCTGGGGGTAACAGGAGTAGTAGTCAAACCCAAGTGGAGGGCATTGGGAAGGAAGAAGGATAGATATACAGCCAAACAGTTTCTTCCCTCAGCAGGAAATTCCAAAAAAGCAATGGTTAGGGGGGAAAATGAGGAGCAATAGCAGCTGGTGACAAGGGGAAGTAGTTTTACAGTGGGGGGGGGGGATTAAGGGTTTCTTGCCCAAGCCCCACACTGAAAAAACAAAAATCCCCAGGAGCTACCTCTGTCTCTACCACCCATGCTTGATGGACAAGGCTGGGAGTTATGGTCTGACACATCTGGAAGGCACCAGGTTCCGGAAATCTGCACAGAGGGGTTGCTTGTCCAAATCATCTCCCTACAACATAGCCAGAGCCATTTTCCTTTGTCCCTGTATGCTGCTGCGCATCATGAATGATGTGACGCAGCCCATCCATCAGCACAGCTGTGGAGAACTCATGGCACTTTCCACCATCATGGCAACATTTTTCAATACCCACACAGTTATCACTGATGGAGGCAGCTGGTATGGTTGTGTCCTGGAGAATGCACAACAGATTAAGGGAACTGAGGGGCTGCAGAGCAGCCAGCTCACATACAGAAGGTCCCAGCTTCAACTGCCTGCATATATCTAGGTAAGACTGCAACAGTTTCCTGCCTGAATCCCTGAAGAACAACGCTGCCAATTAAAGTAGACACGACTAGGCAAGATAGATCAATGGCTTGACTTAATGGTTAAGGCACTTTCCTTTGTTCCTGTTGTGATGAACATGTCTCTGTGAATCAGCCTCTATTCGTTTGCCAGGGGTCACCCAGTAAAATACTCAGCAATGTTGCAGCCCACACATGATACACTCTATCTTCCGAAGCTGCATTGGCACCGAAATGTTTTAACGTGACCTCGGACTCAATAATTTTGAAACAAATGGTTGACACATTCAGCAGCTTAGCATTAAGTCTACCTAATCAAGCCTAGAGAAAGCCTAGAGAAATAAAGTGAGATAGGTACGTCTGCAGCCGTGTGAGTCTCTCGGGCTAATCTACCTCATTGTTGCTACAGTATTAAAACACCAGTCTCACCTGCTCGGGCACTTAAGGTGGGACACAAATGTTAGAAGTAAATAAATGGAAACACAGATGAAGATCCTGAACCGCTTTCGCCTCACTTCTAACAGAATCAGGATTCATTGCTGGAGAGATCGCTGCCAGACAACATCAAGTTAAATTGCCTTTAAACACACCACTTGAAGGTGCAGCCGATGAGAGCGGAAGAAACTCAGCACGGAGGAAGGGACCTCCAACCAAAACAAGGCAGAGGCGGGGAGGGGAAGCGGGAGGGCTGAAAGGGGGCGTGGCGAAGCAGCTCCGCGCCCTCCCGGGTCCCCTTGATGACGTTGAACGAAGATGGGGGTCGCGCCGTGACGTCAGGGTGTTTCCCGGTGACGTTTCCCGGGGCATGCGCACCCGCCACGCGGCGATTCTGGGTGACGTCACGCTCGGGGGTGTGACGTGCGGCCGCTGCTGGCCGCCTGGAAAGCTTCCTCGCCGCGGCTCGTCCCCTGCTCCCCCCTCGCCCCTTTTCTTCTCTCCCTCGCCCCGCCCCTTTCCCCGCAACGGGTCGCGGTTGGGGGCGGCCGGGTCGTCAGGGGCGACACGGCTCCCCCTCCCCGTCTCCTTCCTCCTCCCCCCTCCTGGCCCCCTCCTCAGCGCTTCGGTCCAAGATGGCGGCGCTGAGCAGCGGTGGCAGCGCCGAGGGGGCCTCGCTCTTCAACGGGGACATGGAGCCCGAGCCGCCGCCGCCCGGGGCCTGTTACGCGGGGGGCAGCGGCAGCGCCGGGGGAGACTCCGCCATTCCTGAGGAGGTGAGGGCCGGCCGTGTGTTGAGGGTGGAGGGGGAGGAAGGCTGGCCTGGCATGGCGGGATGCCCCCTTTCCTTCTGGTTCTCCCCGAGCTTGTCTGCTTGGGATGAGGTGAGGCTGCTGCTGTGCTGAGGTGTCTGAAGCGGCTGAGGGGTGCTGCGAAAGGATGCCGGGCGGGCAGGGCCCCCAGGGTGGCTCTGTGCAGAGGACTGGGGCTGGAAACGACAGGCGAAGGATGTGGGGCTGTCCTCGTGGGGAAAGGATTCGAGGTCGCCACCGGTTACGGGTAGAAGGCCGTCCTGGCCTGTTCCGGCACTACCGACAAGGCGTCAGGTGCCGGGGAAGCTTTCCTCGGCACGGAGGCAAAGCGCCACTGGCTCATGGCTTGCCGTGGAGCTGCCGGTGCAGGCGCAGCTCCAGGGACCCGTGGTGAAGCTGGCCTGCCTCGTCGGGGGCAGAAGGTGTTGGGGAGACAGTGTGCTTCACGGATTTCCCATCATCAGCTCCCCAGGCCTACTGAGGCCGTGGCTTGTCGCATAGGTTGTTATCAGGCAGGCAGTTCTCTTGATCTGCCTCTTCTAGCTTCCCTTCTCAGCATCACTCTGTTTTCCTGCTCTGCGTGTTCAGAAGCAACATTTGCCCGTGAAGGGTTAATGTTACAGGATCAACACTCTAACCCCCACCCCACACACACACAAGCACTTCTTTCCACAAGTGTAATATTGATTCCCTCAGGCCCTGATCGTGTGGCCCCGAAGGCTAAAATCATTCATCCAGTGCATGGAGAAAGCAAAACATCTCCATTTGTTTTTATCCTTGCCTATTACAAAGAGAGAGAAAGCAGTGAAGTTGGATGTTGCTACTTTGACAGGACCAATTTGTGAAGTTGAATATGAGTGTTAGGTTGTTATCCTTCTGAGTTAGAGGTATTAAAAGCTCCCAGTGGATTGCATCAATATTATTAAAAACAAACATGATCACATGTGCTCTGTGAACAATACCTTGGCATGAATAGGGTATGCTCTGTGGGCTTTCTTAGCCTCTTGGCATTTGGCTTCTTGCTGGGGAAGGAGGTAGCATATAATTTTCAGCAGTCAGTTTAGACGGCACTGCAAAAAATGCATTTGTGTGTAATGTTGCCTTAAACAGAGTTTAAAGCTCTTACGCATGTGACTGTCTTCCATAAGTAAGTATTCCTAAAATAGCTGACAGGAGCAGGAATGGGGGAGGGATCTATTTGTTAGAAACACATGATTAGGAGATGCATGCAAACATGGCTTGTTCAATTTTCTTTAGGTATTGCTTGCTTTTTGCATAGCTTCTTAGTGTCAGTTTCCATGTTCAAAGCTGCATCAGTTATTTTTATGTTGTATTGTGGATGAAGACCCTCTAGCTAGGGCCAGTGTAGCTTCTCAGTATATGGGTTGGGAAGAAATAAGGATTAAGTAAGAGTTAATCATTAGTTCCCCACAACAATTTCAGCTGTAAACTCACTTCTTTAAGCTCACTTCTTTGAAAGCCAGCCTAATGGTATGGTGCTGTAAGACAATATACTGTGTCCTTCAACATAGTACAATTTGATACTTATTACTGTAGTTAGCAGCTTTTCCTCATATTTTAAATTATTTTAAGGAGTGTTGCCCATACACCTTATTTTTAGAAAGAACATCTAGTGACAGGTATAGGACTGACTGTGTTCAGTGTAAGTTGGCTTATGATTGCAGCCATCAAATTTTCTCCAGTTGACTGCAGTTTCAGTATACTATAGTTAAAACATAATGTGCTAAATGAACTTTTTTCTATCTTTGATTGTAATGACTTTCTAAGCAAGATCAGACTCTGCCTTCACATAGCATAGGAAATCATGTGTAATTATGAAAAGATGGCACTATGAATCAGGATCTCCTCTCTCTCAGTGTTGCTCTTACCTCTCAGCCTCAATCTCCCTACTTTGCTGCAATATGGTAGTAAAAATTCTGACTTAACGTCCTATGTTATTTGTAAGGATTACAACAAGATAATGTATGTGAAATGCATTAAACATTGAAATACAATCAAAATGCATAGTATTATTATGAGTTTACTGGGATATGGAGAGAGATCTGAAGTTGAACAGGCCTAATTCAACCTTAAGGCCTGAAGCTAGACATGTCTAGTTCAGAGCCCATGCTTGATGGACTCAGGTTCGATCCCTGAGATCACCAAGTAGCTTTGGAAAATACTTCTGTTAGAAGTCTTGCTGCCAGTTAGTATGAACAGTACTGAACTAGATGAACCAATGGTCTGACTTGGTAGTTGCCTGTGGCAGTTTTGTATAGGAAACTTATGGCAGTTTCCTATACAGGAGGATCTCTGTATCCATGGGGATAGGTTCTAAGCCCCTCAGAGGATGCCTGTAACTGCAGATAATAGCAAACACTATATGTGCTATATATGTGCTATACACTGTACATATACATTTCTTTTTTCACAATTACACAGATAGAAGTTTCATTATTACCATACATCCTAGCAACCAGAGCATATGATTTTTGATTCCTTTCTCTATTAAATCAAAAATTTTTACTTAAAGGAAGCAGTTTACAACTTCTCTTTGGCACTTTACAGCACTTTAGGACTTCTCTTTTGGACCAAGGTTGGCTGCAATTAAGTGAAAACATAGTAATTGAGCCAGCAGATACAGGGGTCCTGCTGTATTCCAGACTGAAATTGAAGACTATTGGCTCTCAAGACAGTAATCTTACATGCATGAAACAAAGTAGTTGGCCAGAGCAGTGTATTCATGCCAGTTGATAGATGCTCTGTTATTTAAATAATGGTCCCTCTACATGACAATATATATAAGTGGATCAGGGTAGTGCTAATCTGTTTCTGACAGTGACCAACCAGAATCTCATGAAGGGTCCCAGTTTACCAGCTGTTGGGGCAATCAGGTACACTGCCTTTGAATATCAAGGTTTGTTACACTTGTTAATAGACATATATCTAGCCACATGTGTATCTTCTTTGAATTATCTAATCCTGTTTTAAAGCTGTTAGTTGATGATCACTGCCCCAATGTGTGCGAACCCTTTAAATTAGGTATTTTCCTTTATCCTGGATGTTTTCCATAAATCAATTTTATTGAAAGAGACTGAATACTAGTCTTTTGAGATAATATGTCTCTCATCTGTTTACACTGTTTATTATTTTCTTTTGGTGTTTGGTCAGGTAACAAGGAAAGCAAACTGGAGTGAACAGGATACCTTTTGGGACTTTCAGCAGTGAACTGTGAGCATCTTTGGTGCGGATGGCAATTTGATACCCATTTAATATTCAATATCTACCCCTGACCTCACTTGTGCTATTTTTCAATTTTGGCTTTTCTATCCTTAGTCAAAACTAGAGGTTTTGGGCTTCTGTCATGCTAAACAACTGGGAGGCAAAGTGTCCCCAGCTTGTTTAACTGCTCTTGCACTGGGCAGCTTACTGCCATGTCTGTAACAACCCAGGGTTCTTGTGATGTGCAAACTGAGATTTTGCCTCCAGAAATGAACTTTTTTGCTTCCATACTTTGAAATGTGATAAGTAGTCAGTGCTTCTGACTTTTGTTTATATTTGCCTCAGTTTTGTGCATTTTGTTGTTAGTAGGCTTTCAGAAAAATAGCTTTGTATATTCCCCGTTTCCCCAAAAATAAGACCTAACCAGAAAATAAGCACTAGCATGATTTTTCAGGATGCTCGTAATATAAGCCCTACCCCAAAAATAAGCCCCAGTTAAGATTGTCACCCAGACGGACACATTTAGTATGTCCATTGCAACACAATTCAGGGTTTGGAGAGTTATGACGATGTTCCAGAAGAAGATGGCATGGCTATATTTGAATAAATGCAGATTTTTGTACATGAATAAATGTAGATTGTTGTACATGAAAAAATAAGACATCACCTGAAAATAAGCCCTATTGTGTCTCTTGGAGCAAAAATTAGTATAAGATCTGGTCTTATTTTTGGGGAAACATGTATCTGTTGTCTTGCTGTAGCGAAGATTGTTGTTCTGAAGCTCCAAGTTAAGGATCATTCAGTTCTCTCCTTATTTTGCTTTCAAGAAAGTTCAGCTAAGCTTTTGTTTTGAAGCTGTGGGTGGATTGTTTGGACAGTGGAGGGGGATGCAGTGCCTTGATTTTCATCATGCATATGATTCCAGTCGATTTTGCTCTCACTGAAAATTAAGGATTATGTTATGTGTCTGGTATTTGGCTTGCTTAATCAATAGAGTGACTAGTTCTGGACAACATGAATTGTATAATCTTATTCTGGTGCCTTGGCTGAAGCTCATAAAGGTCAAGAATAATTTTTTGTGCATCAGTTCTGTATAAATAATAATCCTCCAGGCTAAACATACTAGCCATATGAGGTAACCTGCATAGTGGCTGACACTCCCTGGTTCTGTAACCCCAAGCTGGCAGCAAAATCAGGAGGTTTCTCAAACTCCCTGGGGTGTGTTATACATAACTGGTGGGCTGCATTTAGTTTGGGGGGTTATAAATTATGCAGGCATTCTATTGGTGTTTCAGGCACAGCTGGAAATGAAGTATTGGGTGCAGAGAGGCTTCTGTTGAAAGGCCAAAAGTAAACAGTTTGCTTGGTAAACGGTTTACTAGAAAAAAATCCCTGCTGTGGACACAACTTGGAGAATGTCTGAGCACTTTAGTAGTGTTGTCGGTTGTAAATGATATAGGTTGCCAACTCGAAAAACACAATATAGGATTTTTCAGAGAAGAAATACAAGGTGAGTATTTCATAATCAACCTGAGAGGCAAGCTGTGGGGTAAAGAGGTCTCTGCATTTTTCCCGTTTATTGGAACTCTTCAGAAGAAAAAAATGCAATGTTATAACATCCTGTTTATGCAATCTTAATGGATACTTTCCATTGAAATAAATGGACAGTACTTAATAAACAATTCAGGTCTCTCTGTTTGTAGACTCTAAACAATTGAATGTTGTCCAAGATTGAAATCCAT